TGACGAACTCCTTCTTCAGATACAACTTGACACGTTTGCCCCGGCAGAGCCCTGCAGCGAGTCCATGTCCGTCAGACCATCAGACACTCCAGGCTCCGCACAGTTCGCTCAGTACAGTCGCGGGTGGTCGCTCCAGGCTCTGCGCAGTTCGCCCCGTACAGTCGCGGCTGGGCCAGCAGGCTCTGCACAGTCCGCTCAGTACAGTCGCGGACGGGCCAGTAGGCTCTGCACAGTCCGCTCAGTACAGTCGCTCCAGGCTCCGCACAGTTCGCTCAGTACAGCCGCGGCCGGGCCAGCAGGCTCCGCACAGTCCGCTCAGTACAGTCACGGCCGGGCCAGTGGGCTCTGCACAGTCTGTTCAGTACAGTCGCTCCAGGCTCCGCACAGTCCGCTCAGTACAATCGCGGCCGGGCCAGTATGCTCCGCACAGTCCGCTCAGTACAGTCGCGGACGGGCCAGTAGGCTCTGCACAGTCCGCTCGGTACAGTCACTCCAGGCTTCGCACAGTCTGCTCAGTACAGTCGCGGACGGGCCAGTAGGCTCCGCACAGTCCTCTCAGTACAGTCGTTCCAGGCTCCGCACAGTCCTCTCAGTACAGTCGTTCCAGGTCAGGCATCCGCACGGCAGTCTCTCAGTACAAGTTCCGTTCCAGGCTCCGCACAGTCCTCTCAGTACAGTCGTTCCAGGCTCCGCACAGTCCTCTCAGTACAGTCGTTCCAGGCTCCGCACAGTCCTCTCAGTACAGTCGTTCCAGGCTCCGCACAGTCCGCTCAGCACAGTCGCGGCTGGGCCAGCAGGCTACGCACAGTCCGCTCAGTACAGTCGCGGACGGGCCAACTAAGGCAGAATGGCAGGCGGCTGACAGTGACGGATGACTTCGGGCGAGTTCGAGCGCCGCGCGGTCGTGCCCGGCGGCTCCACGGGCTTGATGCTGTATGCTGCAGCACCGCGACAGCTGTTTATGTTGACCTTGTGTTGGCGCCGAGGACGAGATGATGGTGGTTGACTGACCGGATGAATGGAGTCTGATGCTCTCAGTGTTTTTGTATCGTTATGTGCGGGGGTTTGCGGGACCTCATCCAGACGCTGTGTGTTTGTGGAAGGCGTACGACGCTTTCATTGCGGGGTTGATAACCCGTTCTGAAAAATCTGGATCAGGAGAGTGGCTGACAACCGACCAGCAGAGAACTGACGACAGGGGCAGCAGAGGTTTATTATGTGATTGGCCCAACCGATAGGTGCCAATTAACGTGCATAATTATTACATTGCGGTGGTGGCAAGAAGCGATCCATTGATAATCACAAGCACTCAACAATATTTACGCCCGGAAAAGCTCGTCCATTTTGGAGCCCTGCTCTGGTGACTCCGTCACTAACGACGCTCTCAGTGCCAGCAAAAGGCGGCCACGTAACGCCCGATCTGTGCCGGACTCACTTGAGTCAGCATCGACCCGAGCGTCAGTCGTCTCCGTCGTCCGCTGGGTCTGCGGGACGTCTGGTGACTCACGGTGGCCGGCGGTCTCTTCTGATGGCTGTTTGCTGTGTGCCGCGGTTGCGACGCCGCGGCGCTCGGAAGCGGGTACACCGGTGACGGTGGGGTGGCGCCCGTCCCCGGACGGTCACAGTCGGGGGTCACGCCACTGATAACCATGTCATGTCACTGATCGCAGGTCATGTTACTGATTACAGCGTCATGTCACTGACCACAAGTCATGTCACCGATCTCAGGTCGTGTCACTGATCGTAGGTCATGTCACTGATCGCCGGTCATGTCACTGATCGTGGGTCATGTCACGAATCGCAGGTCGTGTCACTGATCTTAGGTCATGCCACTGGTACCGCATCATCAGGACCCAATCATGGGAAACAGACACACCGACTTTTACTGTCGGCTCGGGACGCTCCAGCGTGATACGGTCCCGGTGCGGGCTGCGATCTTGCACTCGGCTGGCGGGGGGGGGGGGGGAGAGCTCTTGCGAGGCGTTCGACATGAGAGCGGCCCGGTGGGGCCGACTGGGCCGTGCCGCAGGTCGCCGCCGCCCAGTCGGCGCCGGTGCTCCCCGCTCTGCCCCGCCCCAGACGTCTGAGCCCACACCTCTCGGCACCGGCGTGACCGTGGGGCTTCGAGCGGGGGGGGGGGGGGGGGGGTGAATGGTCGCGGACGGATAGCCCCAGCCCCAAACACGTTTAGCTGGCGTCCGATGGTGCTCGAGATGTGGCTATTTTCCGGTCGGCCGGACGTTCCGGTGGCCGTTCTGGTGGCCGTTCCGGTGGGCGAGTGCGACGCGCCGCTTCGTTGCCCGGCGGGCCGCGTTGGCAGCCTCCGTCACAGCGGCGCCAGTTCCGGCGCCAGGTCCGGCGCCCGCTGGCAGCGGCCGCTGTCGGCACCGCCTTAATCACGTCAGTAAAGAACATGGTAGGCGGCGCGGTGGCATTGGCTTTATCGATTGGAACCGGTCGACGATATTAAATGAGTCACATATCTTGTTTGCGACGCATGGCCATTCAGTGCTATTTATACGTTTGGGAATATTCGTTTTGAAAATGTTCGCCACGCGCAAGCGCCAACGTGTGATGACGCTGGGTCGGTCGGATATTCAAGTTGTTGAGTTACCACTCAACCAGGAGTTGATTTCTGGCGTTGGTGAGCTGCTACATTTACTTGATCGCCTGCATGAGCACATCACTCATCAATAATGACTGCTATTTGACTAAATGACAGCGCGGCGGTTCGCTGGAGCTGTGCAAACCTCATTTAACTTGGCTTTGGCTTTGCCCCTCCCGCTGCCGGCCGGAGCTGTCAGGGCCAGGCCAAGCAGTGCGTTCGCTGCCGGCCGGGATCACCACCATCTGCCTCCCGGCCGGATCAATGTGCATTAGGCTGGAGAACGCCGGCCCGATATTGAATTCGACACGTGCGGGAAAGGGAGGGGGCTGCGGCGGCGCGCGGCGGCTCGTGCGTGTGCGCGTGTGCGGGGGGCGGAGAGCCTGCCGCAGCTAATTCGTGCCAGCCAGCGCCGTCGCGCCCGCGTCGCCGTCACGGTGGGTCCGTCGACGAAACGCCGCCGCCGCCGCCGCCGCCTCCGTGGCCGTGACCGCCGGCGGCGGCGTCTGCGCCGCCAGGTGTTTCCCACCGGAGGGGGGGGGGCGCTGGCGTCAGCTGGCCGCGCGGACGCGGGCCTCGAATCGACCCTCACGGACTCGGCCGGACCGGGCCGGCTCCGGGTGGAGCCCAAGGCCCGGCTCACTAGGCCGAGGCAGGAGACTCGAGCACGCCTTTGGCAGATAGTGCGTAGGTTTCGTCTCAGGGGTTGCGGTTCCATCACATTTGTTGGATACGTGTGTGCGCGTCAGACATCAAAAACGTATGCGCTTCGTTCTTGGAGAGCCCACACAATATGTCTGCGAGGCGGGGAATTTGAGTAAAACGTCGATTGAGGAAGCCGCGCGCCCAATATGTCACAGCTTCGTATGAGAAGTCCGTCGGCCATCACTCCGGACGCGCCTTCTCGAGAGATTTTGCACGTCGTGCCTTCTCACCACCGCGGGGATCCTCCTGGCCGACGTGTCCCTCCCGGCACGGCCGCGGCGGCAGCCCGGTCCTGGGCGGGCGGACACCCGAGCCCGCCCGGGCGGACCCACCGCGAACGTCGGCCGCGGAGGTGGCGGCCAGCTGACGGATTGTCGGCCGCATCCGAGGCGGTGTTTTGTTTGACGGCGCGCCAGCCGGCGTCGCGCCCAGCTTGGCGGCCGGGGCGCCAGGCGGCAGCGCGCGCTGCGCCACGCGTGTCCTCGCCGCGTTGACAGCTGCTGGCGGCGTCGGAGCCGGTGCGCGACGCGCGACGCCGCGGCCGACGGCCGGGCCGCCCTATCGGTCCATCTTGATTGCGGCGGCCGGCGAGAGGTGTCGCCCCTGCGCCCGTCTATATTTATTGGGGACGTCGCTGGTAGCTGTCAGGCGCGCGGACGCGGGCCGTGGGCACTAATGCGAGCATGGACGTGTTCGGAGGGGCACGGCCCCCGCTCCGCACACCCGGCCACGCTGAGCCAGCCAAGCGGCTGTCTAGGTGATGAGGCGTACCGGTGAGGTGAACACCAGATGGCTCCGTATCTGTCTGGGAGTTTTGGATGCTTGGATGAAAGCCGCCCTCGGAACTTTGGCTGGCTGTTTGGTCTTGTTTTGTCGGTGAAATTGCCTTCGTGCGGTGCGCGCCGCGATCCGACCTGAAATCAATTGTTGCTCAAGGTAACTGCTTCCGTAACTGCCCGAGGCGTGGCTGTTTTCATCTGGAACACGTCCAGCTCGCCGGTTCCCAGGCCGGTCTGCTCGAGCGTGGACGGTCGTGCACGGCCGCGTCCGTGCCTGCCGGCGGACTTCATGTCATTTTGGCCTGCGCTGCCACCCGAAACCTTGGTTTAAGCCTTAAGCCTCGGTTTGGTTTAAGCCTCGTCTGCCACCCAGCTGGGGAACAGCGCTCTGCAGTGTGGCTTTAGCGGTCGGGTGCTTAACCTGTGACTCACACTTATCTTGCCTCTCACAATCACGTGTGCAGTTCACGCTGTTGCAAGTGCGCTTTTAAGAACGCTCTTTGATTGCGCTCGGTTATCACAAGTGGGCCAGTAGTGTTGAGCCCCATTACTGAGGGCTCTGCGGTCTGTAGCCGACCACGGACCAACGGCACCGCTCGACGTTTCGCAACCGTTGCATGCTGGTGTGTGGCACCGACGCCTTTCAAAATGTTTTAGTATCTTTGTGATGTGTTTCGGTGTCCAAGTCTACTTCTGGGGCTGGACTGCGCCCTGGTTCCCATGACTGAGTACGTGAGTGCCGTGTCGACCTGCCATGGCATGCCGTCCTCGGTCGTGGCGTGCCGCCCTCTCGCCCCGATGACGCCAACCCCGGCCAGGCGTGACCTGACCCGCCTTCGCCGGCGCCAGCCTGACCGGCCCCACCGTAGCCTCACCTGACCTGACGTGACCTGACCCGTGACCTGTTTCAGGGCGTGTCGGACATGTGCGTCGGCACCGACGGTCACGTCAGCCAGGGCACGCGCATGGAGCCCGACTGCCTGGGGCCCTGCGAGCCGGGCACCACTGTCAACCTGGAGGGCATCGTCTGGCAGGAGACGCACGGAGGTGAGCCGGCGGCCAGAAGCGGCCCACCGCCGCCGCCCAGCTGCGGCGGGCGGGGCGTCATTGGGACCGCTGCACGACGGCCGGGCTGGCTCGGTCGTGGCTCGGATCAGTATCGGAGTCTGGCAACCTGGTCTATCGGGCCACAATCCATCCACTTTAGAGCCCCGTGTTGGCGACTGGCGGCTTGCCGGCGGGGTTGGCGCCGAGCTCCGGCCGCCAGGTCAGCGCCCCTCTCTGGCGGACCTCGTGCGCCAGCTGGGTGACAGGCCGAGCCGCAGTCGGCTCAGTCGGCGGCGCGGCCGCGAAAACTCAGCTGACCGTGTGGTCACGCAACGGCAGCCAGCGACTCGCGGTCGCCCGCTCAGCTGTCGGCCCTGCACCGCTGGCGGTGCGCCCGCGACCACACCGAGGCGTCCCGTGAAAAACGGCGTGTTTGGGGCGGGAGAGTTACGACTATTTTCAACATTTTCCGGCCGCGGTCGGGTGAGGCCGAGGGTGTTCGGGCATAATAGCCAGTGTTGTGATTGCAGGCCTGAGTCGTAGATTCGGTTATGTTGTGCAAAGACATACAGATATATGTCCGTATCGAACACCCATACACTGCTGTGCTACATCGAGATGTCCGGTTCGGATGTGGCAACGCGGAATCACAGATTGGAGTGATAGCCAGTGTCGCCTCGGAGAACCAGCGACATTTACAAAACACCTTTGAGAGCCCTTGCAGCTCCTTCTCCACCAGATAACCGTCTGTTTTCGGTCTATCCTATCTTGCCAGGGATCCCTGCGACCAGCCTTTGTAAAATCGCGTCCCTGGTGGCCTATCTGGGCGTGGCTCAATGCCATCTAGTGGGCAGCTGGTGAACCATTCAGTAACTGCCAGGAATATCCCCGCCCCTGAGCGGTCTTTGGCGAAGAATCCCTGCGGTGACGTCAAAACGTCAGCTTGTTTGTTGGTGTGCATGTCTTAGTGACAGGAATAGACACTAGTGGATCTGGGTTCTGGCGGTATTTTTCCACCGTGGCGTATAGCTTGTTGCTGTCATTCTCCTCACGGATGCGTCGATCCAGCATCTGGCGTTACGGTATTCCCAGCCCGCCTCTGTTGAGTCTGGCCAGTTTGAATTAATGAGCTCTCAGAACCGATGCAGAGATGTGTGCCTTTGAACTCGTAACCATGCGGTTGTTATGAGATGGCCTTGGTGTTAGGCGCGGTCACACGGCGGCTGTCGTTCGGAGGCTGGGAGCCAACTGGCTTCATCGTCTCGCTGGCGACTTATCACACCTTCCGTGATCACCACCTGAACAATTGCGCGCGAAAAGGAACAAGGCCATCTGCCAAGTCCGGGACATGTCGTTATGATACCAAAGCTTTGCCAGTCCTTTGTCCTTATTCACTGAGCGTATCCACATCGAGGCACGCCTCTCTTGCGGCGGGAGGAGGAGCACGGTCAGCCGTGTGCAGACCGGGCGGTGGGCGCCGGTGGCGCTGACCGCGCTCCGCGGCGCCCTCGGTGTCCGCCAGCCCGTCACGGCCATTCATCTTGCCGGCGTGGCATGTAACGACAGAGCGGCCGCCGGCGTCGGCGGTGATTAAAGGGGCGACGAGGTCGCACCCGGGCCGCCGCGACCCTCCTCCCTCCGTCAACTGTACCCGGTGCGGTCGACGGGCTCGGGGTGCCAACAGGCCGGGGCGGGACGGGGTGCCGCGGTGTTGGGCCACAGGGGCGGGGCGGTTTTTGCCCGGCCGGTTAATGTTAATTAACAAGCTCGTTGGTATGCTAACTGGGAGTGGCGGCCACCGCCGGACGGCGTCGCGGGCAGACAGACTCATCGCTGTTATTGGTGGCCATTTACAGCAACTCGACTGCCCTCATGCACCGCTCAGAGCACAACACATGCGATAGACATTGCTTATGCACAGGTGCATGGGATGTCATACATATTGCTGGACATCGCGCATTTATTACACAAGTTGGGTGCAAGGGCACACAACACCCGTTCTTCGTGGCGCGGCTGTGCGACTCACGGTGATAAGGTGCATACATTACGTGTCATATCTTCGGTCGTGTGCATTCCGTTCCACCTGATAGGAACCAGGATCAAAGGATGCCTGGCCTTCTGTTGTGCGCGTATGACGTCGGCTCGGCCAGGCTGGCAGCCGTAAATGCCGCTCAGCGCCATCCGGTGATGACATACTGACTGCCGCTGTACATAGGCATCGTTAATTGTGTATGGGAGTGACCTTCGCCATTGATAACTTTCGCCAGTATGGGTATCTGGTATGTTCGCTGACAGAGACCACCATCAATTTACCAGAGCCGCTTTCACCAAACAATTGGAACGTCATCTGGAAGGCTCGGGGACGGTTCGGGAGTTTTTGCCGGTCTGTGAGCCAGGGCATCAACGGCCAGGGGCCTGGTGCGTGTTCCGTCACTGTCCACTGGAAGTGGGGCCCCGGACAGCAGTCACACGGTGGGATGACCTTGGCTGACCTTGGGCCAGCCATGGACCGGCGGTAACGTTGTCTGGTCAGCCGGTGACCTTCAGGTCGGTCGGTGTACTCTGGTGGATCAGTGTCTCTGGTCGGTGCTCCGTCCGTGACGGCGGCGCAGACTGACAGCGCTCGGCTGTTCCGTCCCGTCACGTCACGTCACGTCGTCACGTCCCGTGCCGTGCCGTGCCGTGCCGTGTCGTGTCGTACCGTGTCGTACCGTCTCCGCTCTTGACCCGTGCTGCCCATGCCGTGCCGTGCCGTGCGGTGCCGTGCCGTGCCGTCCCCGTTCCTGACCCGTGCCGTCTCCGCTCCTGACTCGTGCCGTCCCTGCCCTTACCTAACCCGTGCCGTGCCGTGCCCGTTCGTGACCCGTGCCGGGCCCGTGCCGGGCCCAGCTGGCCGCCCGTGACGCTGTTCCATGGTCCGCGCGCCAGCGTGTCGCCGGCGCGCGTGGTGCTCATTGTTGGCCGGCGGCTAGTGGGCGCCTGTCGCCGCCTTCGCACTGGCCTGGCCATCAGCGGAATGGTGTCAGTATCGTCTGTGCCACTCGGCGGCCTGCCCCCACCCCCGCCCCTCCTCTACCCCCACCCCCACCCCCGCCCACGCTCACGCCAAGCCCGCAGCGGCTCGTGCCAAGGCGAATCGCATGGGCTACAATTCTTCCGGGTCACGCGATCGGATCCTGAATCTAAACCTGAATTTGCTTTGTTCGAAACGATTATCAAGAGACCCATTCGCGGGATTGCTTGAAGTAGCGATTTCGATTCAGTTGTATGCCGGTGAGGTGATGCAGACTATATCTACCCGGCGTGATGGCTTGCTAGAAGCAGTATGCATGGGAAACAACCGGTTGGCAGGCCGTCTTTCGGGTATGATCAGCTGAGTCACGCCTGTGTCGAGTGTACTGTGTCTGCTTGGAATGTTTCACAGATATTTTGTCTGCGGGCTGTATGCGTGCGTACGAATTTGTCTTCAGATATGTGAGAGTAATGTTGGTTACTTTTACGGAAATGGCATCACGCCATCGTATCAATCATGTCACACACACACACACACACACACACACACACACACACACACACACACACACACACACACACACACACACACACACACACACACACACACACACACACACACACACACACACACACACACACACACACACACACACACACACACACACACACACACGCGCGCGCACGCACACGCGCACGCGCACGCGCACGCGCACGCGCACGCGCACGCGCACGCGCACGCGCACACGCACACGCACACGCACACGCACACGCACACGCACACGCACACGCACAATGGACATGCATACATGCATACATGCATACATGCATATATACATATATATATATATATATATATATATATATATATATATATATATATATATATAGTGTGTGTGTGTGTGTGTGTGGTGTGTGTGTGTGTGTGTGTGTGTGTGTGTGTGTGTGTGTGTGTGTGTGGGTGTGGGTGTGGGTCCGACGTCTTCCCCGGTGATGCTGCCGTGCTCGAACTCGAGCTGCCTGGCCGCGCTCTGACTGCGTGTCGACACAGAGCGCAGCCTGACCGGGTCACCCGTGCCGCAGGTGTGCTGGTGGTGAACGTCACGTGGCGCGGAAAGACATACGTGGGCACGCTGCTGGACTACACCCGCCACCACGACTGGGCCCCGCCGCGGTGAGTCGGTGTCCGTGTGTCCGCCGCCCGCGGGAACCAGTCCTCAGTCCGTCGCGGCTCCGCGGCGGACGGGCCGCTACTGTGTGGACATTGCCAGCTCTCTGCTTCTGGGTACAGTTTCCTCTCCGCACCGGCTCTGTTGTGTGCATCCCTCTCCCCGTCTCCTCGCATCTCACCGCCCGCTGTCCGCTCCGCCGTGCTGTCTCTCTCTCTCTCTTTATCTCCTCGCGTCTCTCCACCCTCTGGCTCATCTGTGCTGACGAAGGAGCGCCGCATGGCTAGGGCCGGCCGTAAATATTTGGACCGACCGTCTGGCTACACGCCTGTGTGCCGGTCGCGCTGCTTGGGTTAGGGGTGTTCCACAGACTTCCAGCATTCCGTAGACGCTCACGGGGTCGGCAAGCGGCTGGCTACTGTCGGACTGGTTGGTCTAGTTTCGTTCGGTGATGTTAATAACCAGCGCCGCACCAGCCGCTGCCGCTGGTGCGGCGCCTCGCCGGGTCGGCCGCGGGGAGCCGCTGAGCGTGAGCGCGCCGGCGCCGGGCGGTCCGGCCGTGGGGCCGAATGCAGCCGCTGCTCCGCCCCGCCAGCGGTCACGAACGGCGGCCGCGGCGCGATTCTGCGGCCACTGCGGTCGCCGTCGTTTGCTGGTCAGCTGGTCAGCTAGTCCCGCTGGGCCGGGCTTGAGAAAGCGCCGCCCGGTGTGGCGTGACGCGCGGCCAGGCCAGCGTCACGCCGCCGGCCGTGACGGCGCGGCCAGGCCAGCGTCACGCCGCCGGTCGTGACGGCGCGGCCAGGCCAGAGTCACGCCGCTGGCCAGCTGGCCATGGCTATAACCACGTCTCTAATATAACCACGATATTGGCAGTGGGGGAGGGGGGGGGGGCAGATCAGGGATGGAGAGTCCAACTGGAATCTGGGGGACTTGACCTAAAAATAAGCAATTGAAATGGTAACACATGAAAAACGTACATTCTGTGGGGAAAATTGAAGGCGACCGAAGCACGTTTTGAAAGATTGGGGAAGGCGTGTCCTTCCCAGCCATTCCCTAAAGTGGTTATATCCATGTGAACAGCTGCTGCTGATGGTATGACATCAGGTGGTTTGATGTCAGACTGTTTGATATCAGGGGGTATGACGTCATGCGGTTTGACGTCACTGGGTGTGACATCAGGCGGTTCCTCGGCGGTGATGACGCTTGAGCGGAGTCAAAGTTGCTATACGCTAGGGTATGAGCGTCGAGTGATGCAATCATAGCCAAAGCGAGGCCCTAGGCTAGATATGGATGTCAATGTGCCGTATATTATCACCGTGACATGTCAACCTAACATGTTTCCAGTGCGTTAATTATGAACGCGTGATTTTGTGTCTCCAGTGAGTTATGTACGTGTGACTGTGTCTCCGGTGAGGTTATGTCCGTGTAAGCGTATGAGTGAATTCGCGACGACCTGGATGACAGAGGCTCATGCCGTTCATGTTATGCGTGCCTTATCATACCCCATGGTTCTGCGCATTTCGGTGTTCGCAGCGAACCGGGTGAAAAGATTATACGTGACGTGACGTAGAATATTTGCCGAACGCGCGGAGCCTCTTGCCGTTAGGTGATCCGTTAATTCTTGATGCATTAAACCGCTAGTAAGCGAGACGGAAATGGTGCAGCAGATTCATTTATAAACAGGTCAGTTTGGGCACCCACAACCGACAACGGTTGAAGAAAAAGTTTGTCATACGTTACGAATAGAATAATTCGCAGTTTTCATTCCACACGCGTAGTATGCACGTACGACAAAGCTTGTGTCTTATGTCGGAATCTGTTTTTACAAAAATTGAAACTGGTCGTGCCGGAAGTGAAGGCGTCGCGGACGCTCCGACAACGTTTCCACGGGGCGTCACCTAGAAGAGAACATTCTGGGCGCGCTGCGAGTGTACCTTATGTCTCCACTGAGCTACGCCCACGAGATTTTATGTTTCCGTATACAGTCGCAAGTACCATGTCGTGATGCCGGCCACGCTGAGCGCGCCGACTGGCGGCCGCGCCCCCACCGCTGACCTTGCCCTCTCCGCCGCAGGTTCAACGACTCGCCGACGGCCGAGCTGGAGACTCGCGCCGGCAAGGGTCGCGGGAAGCGTGGCCGAGGCGCCGCCTCGCTGAGCGAGACCAGTGTGCCCGAGACGCGTGCCTCGATACAGAGCAAGCTGCGGAGCCAGGGCAAGGGCCGGCGCGGCACGGCCAACTCGGCCGGCGCCGGCTTCACGGCGCCGGCCAGCCCCGCCAAACGCAAGAGCCGCGCCGCCGAGCGCGAGCCGCCGGCCGCCGAGCGCTCGGCCAGCAAGCGGAGTCGAACCAACTCGCAGACGAGCCAGCCGGAGCCGGCAGCGTCGGCGCCGGGCACGCCGGAGCCGGCGCCGGCCACGCCCTCGCCGGCGCCGACGCCGACGCCGGCGCCGGCGCCGGCATCACCGGCGTGCCAGACGCTGATCGAGTGCCCCGAGCCCAACTGCTCGAAGAAGTACCGCCACATGAACGGCCTGCGCTACCACCAGAGCCACGCCCACTCCAACGGGCTCAGCGAGGGCGAGCGCGAGACAGGCGAGTCGTCGGCGCCCGACTCGCCGGCCGCCAAGTCCCCGCCGCCTCCGCCGCCACCGCCGCCGCCGCCGCCTCCGCCGCCACAGGTCAAGACGCCACCGCCGCCGGCGGCGGCGACGCCAACAGCGGCTGCGCCACCGGCCACCTCGCCGGTGACGCCGCCCGTCCCGGCATTAGCGACACCTCCAGTGGCGGCCGCCGCGCCGCCTGGCGGTGCTGCCGCGCCGCCCAAGCCGTGCGCACCTGCCACGCCGACGTCTGCTGTGCCGGCGCCGGCGCTGGTGGCGCCGCCACCGGCCGCCGCCGAGCCGCCGCCGCTAGAGCCGCGCCCCACCCATGCCAAGGTGCACATCAGCGACAGCAACGGCAACGTCAAGACGTCGGGCGTGCTGCGGTTCGGGCCGACGGCGGTGCCGGCCGCGGTGCCGCCGCCCACTGTGATAACGGGCGCGACGGCGTCTCCTCTGCGGACGACGGCGCCGGTGTACCAGCCGAGCTCGCTGTCGCCGGCGCGCACCGCCGCCTCGTCGGCCGGCGCGGCGGCGCCCCCGCGCGGCCCGAGCGCCGCCGACGCCGCCAAGTACAAGCCGAAGAGCGGCGCGGTGCGTGCGGTGGCGCCCGGCCTGCCGGTGATCGCAGTGGCGCCCTCGGGCGGAACGGCGGTGACTTACGCGCAATCGGTGTCGCACCTGAAGCCGATCCAGCCCAAGCCGACCATCATGGGCGAGCCGGCCGCGCTCAACCCGGCGCTCGAGGCGCTCCGCAAGGAGAAGGAGCGCCCCAAGAAACGCAAGAAGGAGAACGGCGCGCGCACGCCGGAGAGCAGTCCGCGGCCGGACGGTGGCGAGCCGGCGCGGCCGCCGCCGCCGCGTGTGCCGCAGCCAGAGACCGAACGACCGGCGTGCGACGGCACGGCCAGCCCTGCCTACAGCGACATCTCGGACGACGGCGAGCCGATGGACACCACTTCGCGGCCGACCGCCGCCGCCGCGGGCGGCGGCACCGAGAAGAAGGAGCTGACAGGTGGCCCTGGGCCGCCATCTAGTGTGTACTACCACTCGTTCTTCCAGACGCCGGGCGCGTACGTGCCGCCTCCGGCGTCTTTGAAAGTGAAGGGCGCCACGGCGGGCGCCGGCGATGGGAAGGACCGCAAGGAAGACGCGGCCCGCGGCCCGCCGCCGCCAGGGTCGGACTACCCCGGTGGTCAGGTGCCGTACTACTCGTACCCGTACCTGCCCGGGTACCCGTACCCGCCGCTGGACACTGCCGGGTTCCCGCTGCCCGTCATGCTGGATGCCAAGTACAAAGCGCCGCTCGAGGCTGAGCGCGAGCGACTGGCGGGCAGCGGCTCGGACCGCCGCGACGTCTCCTCCGACAGCGACTCGGGCCGCGCGTCGGCGCCGCCCCCGGCCGTTGGCGGCCTGCCGCGCGCCGCGCACACGGGCACGGCGCCGGCGCACGCTGCCTCGCCGCAGCCGGCGCCGGCGCACCGGCCGGCCGTGGCGACGCCGCCGCGGCTGAGTCTCGCCCGCAGCCAGCCGGCGCCGGTGCTGGCCAAGCGGCCGGCAACCACCTCGTCGGCCGGGCCGCCGACGCCGGCCAAGGACGACAAGCGGCCGATGGAGGCGGCGGCGGCGCGCGCGGCCGCCTTCGGCTACCCGCCGTTTGCGCTGCCCGGCCTGCCGTACGGGCCCATGTTGCTGGGCGGCGCGTACCACGCCCGGTTCCCGGTGAGCTCAGCGGCGCCGCCGCCGGCCGCGCCCGAGGACCTGAGCCGAGCCGCGGCCTACGTGGCCGCCTCGCGCGCCGGCGAGGTGCTGGCGCACCGCGCCGCGCCCTTCCTCTCGCCGGCGCACAAGCTGCTGGAGCTGCAGGAGCGGGCCCGGAGCACGCCCAGCTCGACGGCGGGCGGTGCGCCGGCCGGCTCGCCCGGCAGCCCGCTGTCGACGCCGCCGCGGCCGGGGCTGCCCGTCGGACTCTCCTTCCCACCGGTCGGCTACAGCTCCTATACGGGTACGGGTGGACCGGGTGAGGACGCGAATGTGAGGACCGGGTGGGCCCGCGGTGACGACGCCTGACCAGTGTGCTTTCGATCTCCGTCGAGCATTGAGGTCTGACTTGGGACATACACTTGGTGTCGCATGCCTCGCGACGTCTATATTTCACCACGTCCGATGAAGTTGTCAGTCATTCAACGTCATCATACTGTTCACGAACAGTATTCACTCTGAGGGGCAGTTGTGTGCGGTTCTGGTGTGCCATTGCGGGCGCAGGGGACGCTGCGTGACGTCACGCGCCCTCTGCTGCAGGTGTTCCTGCCACCGGCCAATCGGCAGGGTTCGCGCCAATCAAATAGCGGCCGGCAGCGCCGCCGGTCGCACGGGCTGTGATGCAGCGCTCGTCCGCCGGGGAGCGGACCGCCGCCGCGCGCGGTCCGCCCGCCCCGCCCTGCCTCGATACGTATAGATCACTGGACTCCCACATATCGGCTCTGGCGACAGTGTACAAAGCGCCGGACTCGTGCGCGCCCCTGCGCGGCCAGCCACGCCACGACCGCCGTCGCCGCGGAGTGGGGGGGGGGGGGGGGGGGCGTCGCCAGGTACCGCCGCTACCAGGGTGACGTGCCAGGTCAGAGCCGCGTTGCACAGACTGGGCCCGGCCTCAACCCCATATGAAGTTTTATCTGTAGGCGGGTATGGTAGCGAAGACAGCCTGTCGGATGGTGGGTTTGGAGTTTGCCGTCTGACCCCCTCCCCCCACGTCTGTCGTCCGGCGCCGGCCCCGCGCGTCGGCGGCCGGCAGCGGCGCTGCTAGTGTTATGAGTGGGCTGTGCCGTTCGGTAGCATCGCTGCGCCGCCCGACGGGGCAACGGTGGCGCCAGTCTTTAGAGAGGCTGTTTTCCTTGGCTTATTGATAGAGCCCGCAGGGACGTGCATTATGAGCTAGGCCAGATGTCATGTATCTGTGTAGGGTGTTTGCAAGTTGTTTGTGTTTGAAATCCAGAAGTGGTTATTATCAGATAGGAAGAATAAACAGAAGCAACGCACGAGGGTATGTACCCTGCATGTGAACATATGAGAGCAAAATACCGGTCGAAAACCGGACCAGCTTCATCATGTGGGGCAGCAGGGGCGCCGTGCACGTGGCGACCCAACACAGCCACGTCAACCGAGGTCGCGTTGGGACACACCGAAGTGCAAACAACAGCCGGTGGGGTGTGACGCCGTCACTGAGCGCGACCTTTGATCGCGGCCCGTGTCGCTGTCCCATTACTCGCACTGGTAGCGTGGGTATCAGAGGTCACGCCGCCGCGTCCAATCACAAACAAGGACGTTGAAGTCATTGCTGCATATCTAGCAGTTCAAGTGCGGTTTTAGAGGCACTGCTCCGACGACAGTGCCTATCACAGGTCCACCAGCGCACAGCCACGCGACCACGCAGTGATATGAACAGCCGCCAAAGCCGTGCGGCGCAGACCGCGGGGTCGCTGACGCCCCTCCCCGACGCCAGGTGGGGCCGTCACGAGCCGGGACACAGCCCACAGCGGCGTCACGACGCGTCGTCGCACCCCACCCCGCCGCGGATCGGCCGCAGCTGCCTCACTCGCGCCGTCACATCACCAGGCCGCCAGGCAGTACTTCCCGGAACTCATGGCGAAGCATACCGTCGCCGGCCAGTCACTCAGTATTGCGGGCCTGTGGGGCTGATGGTGCAGCACACACCCCGCCGGGCGCGGCGGCCGGGGCCCACACCCAGACCACATGAAACCAGCACTGCGGCTCTAACAGCACCGGCATTTCCCCCAGCGAGCCATCTGCTTACGTCTTCACTACGCGCTGCCAGCGCCAGCTGCCTACCGTGAACAGCCTGTCACCTATGGCCACCCTGAACAAGCAGACGATCTTTGCCCTCACACAAGTCCGCTGTAAGCGCGACAGGCCGCGGGCCGCTAAAGACGGCGGCCAAACATAAGCACAGCAGCAGAGGAAGCCGTGAAACCCCGCCGAGCCTCTCCAGCCCACGTCCCCTCAGCCGAACAGCTCACAAGGGATGGCGATAAAGCTGAGTGCGTTGAAGACGGCATTCTCGTGGGCGGCGTCGGCGGCGGGCTCCGTGGAGCGCGGCGGGGTCACAATACCACCGAACATCACCAGCTCGCCACGCGCCGCCACCAGCGAGTAGAAGTTCCGCTCGTCGGGGCCGTCGGGGCGGGCGCAGTGGCGCCAGCGCACGGTACCAGCCGACACGGCCGCCGCCACCTCCAGCACGTGCAGGGCGAGCGGGCGGCGGCCGACGGGCGCCACCAGCCGGTAGCCGGCGGCGAGCGCGGCGCGGCAGCGAGGTCGCGGCCGCGGCGCCGCCCGCTCGGCCGCGGCCGCCTCCAGCCGCGCCTCCATGCGCCGCAGGCCGGCCAGGCGCAGGTCGCGACTGCCGCGCGCGTTCGGGCGCACCGAGGGGCGTGGCGCGCCGCGCTCGGCTGGCGGCGGCGCGCGTCGCGTCAGCTGGCCGGTCTCGGGCCCGGCCGAATGCGCGGCCGGTCGCGGCGGAGGCACGCGACGCTCGCTGTCGGCAAACGGGAGGCCAGGCATTCAGAAATGAGACCGAGCCAGCACGAAAGAAACACTCACAGCTTCTAAAACCTTGAGACGATGAAAAACATTACGTAAGCTGTTAAGTGCATTTGCGCGAAACAATATGCACATAAATAAGACAGTACTAATAGCCTTATTCCTCGGAGACAGACCAGGCCAAAGGAGAAACAGATGCGTTAAAAATACGTACATGCGTTTGCATGTACACGCGTTTTTCGCGTATTCTCTTAGCTAGATATGCACAATATGGTAGTAATGGCTGCCCAGTGCTCCCTGTTTAATCCCCTGAATGTTGGTGTTCTGTAAAAACTGTGACTCGCTGTTTCCCCCCCCCCCCCAAAAAAAAACTGAAGCGTCAAGTACGATGAACGGCCGGCAATTTTGAATTCGCTTCTGCTATTCGTTTCAATGAAGGCACGTTGCCAAAATATCAACGCATCTTTATCTCCATTCTCCTAGCTTTTCCCTGAGGAGTACGACAGTGAAAAACATTATTTTCTGCGCGTCGGAAGCCGGCAGCCCATCTTCACGACGGAGAGTGCTCGTTTAGCGCAGTATGCCGCTCATGGCCTGACTAATCGCAAAATGTCCGCCAACGACCTTATCTACGCAGCAGCACAGCCATTATTCAGAAGATAACACTGCCCACGAAGCCAGTCGCGCAGCCAAGAGGGGTCTCATGTCGCTTTAGCCCCTTCCCCCCTCGTCAGGTTCAAGCGCAGTATTTCACCACGACGCTACTGAATAACCATTTTGGTTTGGAATCTCGAAGACACCACCATGGGTAGCATCATGCAGAGACCACCAGCCATAATTTAGGTGAAACAACTGATAAAGCCACCAGGGCAAGGCGACGACGGCCCATTGATGCGCAGGCTGGGCACCGTACTTAGCAGCGTTTATAGGGTGTGTTAGTCTGTTCGCAGTGCGAATTACCCCTAATGGAACTGGAAATCGTGCGGTGCCTGTGGCCTCTCAATCGGAAATCAAGGTAGCCCACCCCCCCCCCCTCGTCTAAATTCTGACTGCGCCCCTGCACGGATATTGTCCGCAGTCACTCATACGATACCCCGAAATACACGACACGATAATACGTACGCTAATACGATATCCCGAAATACCCGACACGATAATACGTACGCTAATATGATTTCTCAAGCGTCACAGATGCTCTTATCGAAACACAACATACCCAACACTCAACCGGTAATTGCCAGCCGACGCAGCGTATGCGACGGTCCAAGTCCGCGCCACCACTCACCCGTGCAGGGCCGGCGCTGCATGGACGCTTCCTTGCGCCAGGTGCACGTTGCCTTGAGCCGGAATGGCGTTTTCCTGGCCCTGGTGGACATTGCCTTGCGCCGGAATGGCGTTTCCGTGCCCGGGGTGGGCGTTTCCCTGTCCGTGGTGGGGGTTGCCCTGTCCGGGGTGGGCGTTTCCCTGCCCGGGGTGGACGTTGCCTTGCGCCGGGTTGGCGTTTCCGTGCCCGTGGTGGGCGTTTCCCTGCCCGGGGTGGGCGTTGCCTTGCGCCGGGTGTCCGTGGCCCCGGGCGGTCTGCGTTGGCGAGGAGAGAGCGGTCGACTCGCCGCGACACCGGCCCAGCACCACCACCTTCCTGCCCACCTGGGAAGCGAACGACGCCAGTTGGGTGACACCTGCACCCAGTAGGCCATGGTGTCACCATTCCGGGGGGGGGGGGGGGCACTCGCTACAGGCGACAACGTTCCCTGGTGTTGATTCGCTGATAAGCCGGATCTGTTGATCTGCGCAACCATCAGTCATATGTTGCCAGTCTAACGCGGGCGACACGGCGCAAGCGAGGGGGACGCCCCATCATGGCGTGACAATCGGCGCATCAGTGGACCAGGCGACAGTGGTCAAGCATGAGGTAAACCATAGCAGCAACCAACGAGATAAAGAGGCACTTGTAGGGGACTCTAACTCCCACTTATCGCTGAAAAGCAAACAGAGGACCCGTGCTCAGCCCATTGAGTCTGCGCAACCAGCACGACCAGCGACAAATTCACGGACGGACCAGGCAGGCCGGGTGGCACCAGAGCTGCAGCGGCGCGTTCTCGATGCCCTCCACGGTCAGCTGACGCCAGCGCCACTCGGCGGACGGCGCGCCAAGCTCCAGCAGCCAGGCGTCCTGACGAAGCTGGTTCGGGCCGACGCAGCCGCCTGATGGCAAACGCGCGAACTGAGAATAGCCGCGCTCGGCGGCAGGCTGCGCCACCATGCAGCGAGCGATCAGGAGCGTGCCTACCAGCCACATCGCGCAGGGTGAAAACCCGCGCGGATGACAGGTTTCCAGTTTCTTTCCTCCGGTACCAACTAAGCAGCCGCCGTTCCTCGCTTTCAAAGGGTCCCCTGGTTCATCTGGTTGTCGCGGCAATCGTTCCTTGAAGGGAGTGTTCCACATTTAAATGGGTTTTCGAACTGAACAGGACATGTTGGAGACTTTCCGTAGCAGTTCACGGCCACGCTCATTTTAAGACCTAAACCCCTCTACTTTCTGAACTATACGTCCGCGAAGATGTACTTAAAGGCCACCCACGCATCCACAGGACCATCATAACGCCGTCCAAATCCTGCTATTCCATTGCCAGTGCGGCGAATAAGGCCGAGAAAAATAGAATTGTCGAGTTGGTCGTATCTGACGACCGTGAGCACGATTTCCTGACATAACAGCCGTCAATGGACTCTCAACAAAGATGGTGCAAGGCACGATGACGGAATCACACAATGCCACATTGAGGAGCGTGTTTACTTAATAGGAAAATTGTATTGTCCAGTGCAGTCTCTGTCAATTAACGAGTAAGCACGGTTGTCAGTAAGCTTGTTCCATCGCATCTGATGCTTACTTTAATATCTTCAAATGTGGAGCATTCCCTTCAACCCGAACATGGTCTCCGGCTACCGTTCACCGTTGGCGTCGCCGTTCAGTGCTCGTTGCCCCCGCACCCGAGCCGCCCCGCCCGACAGCGACCCTTCCCCGAGTCCCCGGCACCCGAGCCGCCCCGCCCGACAGCGACCCTTCCCCGAGTCCCCGGTACCCGTGCCCCCCCCCCCCCCCGCCCCCAGAGCGGCCCCTCACCGAGCAGCAGCAGGTGCCTGTCGTCCAGCACCAGCTGGGAGTGGCCGTAGCGCGGCTCCGGCGCCGGCACGCTACACCGCTGCTGACGCCACTCCTCCGTCACGAAGTCGAACACCCACACGTCGTTGCTCCTGCATGGGAGGCGCAGCCGGCTGTGACGGTCACGCGGGACGTGTGCGTCGATGACACGGCTGTGTACGACGCCATCGGGTCCAGCTCGGGCCGACACTACACCCACATCACGCGACCCGCCTCAGTGGACAGTGCACACACGGGCCACGACATACAAAACCAGACACGGACTCCTCGCTAGGCTTGCGACATCACCGGCACAAGGGGCGGTGAAACGGAACTGTTAACGGGTCTGAACGACACCAGCCTGGCGGCGACGACCGGAGACGAGCCTCAGAGCTGGGACCTGCGGACCACCGGCACGTGGCCGGAGGTAACCCGCCGCCCACCGCGTGCTGCCAAGTCCCGCTTCGGCGGCGTCGTGTCGACTCACGGCGCAAACCGGCTGCTGTGGCTGTGCAGGCCGCCCACCACCACCATCTGGTGGCCGTGCACCGAAGCTGCGTGCCGCGCCATCTTAGGTGGCCAGCGCGCCGAGCAGACGGTGCCCGGCAGGCCGGTCTCGGGCACGCTGGACGTCACTCCACGCACCTCCTCCCAGCGACACTCCTGCCGGCCGGGGGAAAGGAATGTCACCGCACACATCCTCCAGTGATGCTCCTGCCGGCCGGGGCAAGGAACATCACTGCACACCTCCTCCCAGCGACACTCCTGCCGGCCGGGGGAAAGGAATGTCACCGCACACATCCTCCAGCAACACTCCTGCTGGCCGGGGCAAGGAAGGCCATCGTACACCTTCCAGCGATATCCCCTCCGGCAGGGGGCAGGGAAGGTCACCGTAACCTCCTCCCAGCGATATCCCCTCCGGCAGGGGGCAGGGAAGGTCACCGTAACCTCCTCCCAGCGATATCCCCTCCAGCAGGAGGCAGTAAGTGTCACCGTACAACCCCAGCGACACTCCTGCCGCCCGGACCAGGGAAGATCACTGTACACCCCACTACATCCCACTCTGGCTGCTGCCTGAAGGTGACTGTACACCCCTGTGGTTTATAGTAGGGTCGCTGTATAGTTCTGGGGCGACGAAGCGAGGCTGCGTGCCTTGTCTCAGCGACACAGCTTATTGAATCTATAAAATATACGACCACCGTGGAACTATTTACTATTTAACTTAACTATTTAAACTCTTATTGCACTACACATGAAAGAATGTCCCATGGACTACCTGGAACCATGTGAACGGCAACAGTCCTAGCTGCCCATTCCTCCCCCCTCCCCCATTGATAAAAGACGTCAACGGTCAACCCTAAAATGTCGTATCATCCCCACGGCATGGTGAGCTCTCCACGACACGACGAAAATGCACCACAGCCAGACATAGTAAACCAAAACCGCGCTACAGACCACTTCCAGAGACGGCAGGCACGATTCCAGACGCGGCACGAGCCAGGGCCGCCTCCGGGCTCAGTCCAGCCGACGCCACACACCTTGGTGTGATATACGTGCAGCTCGTCGAACAGCTTCCAGGACTGGTGCAGCGGGTAGGGTGCCGCCTGACTCCAGCCACCGAATAGCACCAGCCGGTCGCCGTAGGTGACCAGCGAGGCGTAGGCCTTGGGGCTGGGGTACGAGCCGACGGCCGGGGGACGCCGCCACTCCAGGCCGCCCAGCTCCAGCCACCAGAGGTCGTTGAACGAAGTCATGCGCGAGCTGCAGCCGCCGAAGACGTACATCCGCCCATCTGGTGACAGGGAACAGCATCAGAGCCAGACTCACACCCCATCCCTGGCGACAGGGAACAGCGTCAGAGCCAGACTCACATCCCATCCCTGGTGACAGGGAGCAGCGTCAGAGCCAGACTCACACCCCATCCCTGGTGACAGGGAGCAGCGTCAGAGCTAGACTCACGCCCCATCCCTGGTGACGGGGAGCAGCATCAGAGCCAGACTCACACCCCATCCCTGGTGACAGGGAGCAACATCAGAGTCAGGCTCACGCCCCATCCCTGGTGACAGGGAGCAACGTCAGAGCCAGGCTCACGCCCCATCCCTGGTGTGTCTGGTCGTAATGTCGCACTGCGAAGATAACAAGCTTTGGCGTGCAAGCACATGGTCTCACAACTGCTACAAATAAGAGCAGAACTCGAAACAGAGCGATCCTCTCCAGCACCAACCACGCTTCAGAAGGGCATGGCACCACCCGCCACACAAACAGACAGCGGCAACACCCACCGAGCATGGCGGCGGAGTGAGCGCAACGTTTCGTGATGACGCGGTGCGGGGCGATCGGCGAGCCCGGCACCGGCGGCGGCGTGTCGTAGTGGAACCAGGCCACGGACAGCTCATCCAGACTGCGAGTCAGCAGGCGGCGCAGCTTGATCTCCACACCTGCGCCCAGCACACAGGACAGGCCATGGTGACAGAACTGTGATGAGTCTGATGATTGTTAGGGAACATCAGAAGGTTCATCCAAAACGTACTTTGAAAAACGGTCTGTTGAAAGTAAAAACTGCAGTAAAACAGCAGTAAAAAGGTTATGACTAAACTGCAATAAAAAGGTTATGTTGTATAGGCACACTGCAATAAAAGGACCGGAACTGCAAAAAGAATTCCATATGCAACTGCCAAAGCATCATTAATAATGATCAACTGTGGCACCTCAGCCAAGGCGCAACATGGGCCACAACCTCACATGAACCTTAAAATCAACCACACTCAGTGACAAGGGCGAAAGACACGTCACCGCCGCTGGCTGGTCTGGTCTGGACGCTCCACCGTTCATTTCCCCGTCTGGCCCTCACGTCTGACGGCGTGCAGCCAGCGGCGCGACACCAGCCTGCAGCTCCGCATGTCGTCGTAAGGCAGCACGAATGTCAGCAGGTGATCCAGGATCTCGTCAGGTAGGTCGCCAGTGGACCTGCCCCCCTGCCACGGCTCGTCGTGGTCTGAGTCCGTGTCGCAGGGCGAGGTGTCAGGCGCTGCATCAGACATGCTGGGCAGCTGCCCCTCTTCTGTTTGTGGGGTGTTGTCCATGCTGGGTCCAGACACTATGTCTTCCATGCTGGTCATTGGTTGGGCACCAGCAGAGTTGACGTTTTTGTCATTCATGCTGATCTCCTCATATCTGGAAATGATGGAAATGGTTGGATTCAGCAGGAACAGTCCTTACATACCATGCCCATCCAACAAAATGGACTAGCCCCAAATATTTTTGCATGAAGAAGTTTGAAAGCACTTTCTATTAAGCTTAGGTTGGTGGTTCAGCTGGCAAATCTAATGGGTGGGAGAGGTATGTTTAAACTCATCCAGTGAACTCTGATGGCTAAAAACCATATAACACACTTTAATCATCCTTTCAATGGATAGATCACTACTGCAAGGCTGATGTAAGTTTGTTACAGCAACCCCTTTGATGGCTTTATGTCACTGATTCCTCCAAGACCATATTAAATGGAGCAGGGCACTGCCACTATTCCACCTAAAACTTTGTCATGGTTGCAGAGCATGTCTATAAGGGCCTCATAAACAAATATATATCTGGCCTAGAGCTTCTTATCACCAAACCAAAATGTGAGTTGGTTGCATAGCACTTGCAGGCTCCAGAAGAATCTCAGATAGCTTAATTCTGGTTGCTGTGGCAATCATGGCAACACACAATGATAGCAAATACCAATGACAACACCCTCATTAAAAATCTATCCCTTGCTTGGGGTGTGACCTCACCATCTTTTTTAAAAATGCATCCCTTCCATGGCAAACAAAGTGAACACAGCCAAAGCATTTCACAGAAACATGACTGAATAAACTGGCCAAGTTTACATCCCCCAAGTCAGTTGCATTACAGCATTCCAAATGCATTTCCATGAAATTGCACTTAGGTAACAAACCTAAATGTCTAAAAATTTATTCTGTCTTCTCTTTGCTCCAGGGAGGCCTGTTTTATTGGTGGACGATTTCCGAGAAATGGCATCACAAGTTTTTGGGCATTCCCAACGTAGGCCTGATACTTCCAAGGAGTTTGAATGAACTGTACTGATCATTAAGCCCATGCAATATTGACGAGCCAGATACAAAAGACATTTCTGAATACTTATGGCACCTTCTTGAATTATATGCTCTGCATACTGGCTGTAAATCGTCCGCCACCTCCCCCTTCTCAACCACTTGCAAGGCTATATTTCGCTTGTGCATCAACCAACGTCTAACCTGCGGCGTATCCGCCAGCTGACTAAAACAGCAAAATATAGCACAAATGCCTTCAGCTGATTGTACGATGACGTCACAAAACCAAAAACCGATGGAACCGCGCAGGGCCGTACGGGAACGGGCGGAAATGGGTGGGACCAGACGGGCTCGGTCTGATCCCGCCAGGCCCCGTTCTGTCTCTTTCTACTCCTTTTAGATACGTTCCTTGCCTTCCGATCCTGTTTCATCGTGCCAAGTCCTGCATGGTTAGGTCCCTTCAGGCTCCATCTAGTCCTGCCCGGTCCAGGGTCTCATCCCTTTCCATCATGGACGTAGGAACAGGTGGGGGGGGGGGGGGGACAGCGGGTCATGCCCCCCCCCCCCACACACTGTTCAAGGTGGGAGGCAGCAATGTGAACTGCCCCCTCCACTTTTCAGATTAAGGTTGCATTTGGCTTACTTTTGCACTACATTAAACATGCATGCCGATTTACCTAGTTCACCAGCCATCAAAGATCGACGCAGCACGGCCTGGAGACCGCAACGCCGGACATCGAGGCTGTTCTTGCTATGGCTTGCGAGCTCGCATGTTCAAGACCATATTACGTAGCTGTCCTATCAGTGATCAGCTCTGACAGGATCTTGAGCATTTTAAGACGAACATGGGATAGCCATGTTAAAACAAATTAGGAATTTTATTTCGTCTGCAATCTACAGTCAGAGAGAATCAATATCTCTGAGGAACACAAAAAACACGGAACTGGAGTCTATGTGTCAACCATCGGACCACCTGCAGTGGTCAGGGATGTTGTTGCGTCAATGACGGTTCCTGTGCTGATCCGCGGCCAACTGCGCGGATCATAAGGCCTTCCGTGTCAGGAATGGGAACAACGTGATATGATATATCCTTCTAATGGTCTCCGGATCGACCAGGAGATCCTGCCCCGTGCCACCAGAATGATAGCCAGAAGACACTTTGCGATGGGACGGAATGACCCTTCAGCCCTTGACCGGAAACGGTAATGTACCCCTGGTGCTCTACTCAAGAGGCCCTTGCCCGTAATGAAATAAGGGATCTCATTCTTGTTGAGTAGATGGGTGTCTCATTGTTGAGTAGGGTGGGACGAAATGAGCTTAGAAGACGAACGAGTTCATGCCATATTTTCCTGAGAACGTTCATTTTTTCAGAACGTATTTTGAAACAAATTACAACAGGAGGCTTGAACATGCGCGCCCGCAACCTCGAGAACAAGGACAAGGATGGTCCGGGTTGCAGCTTCCGTAAAACCGAAAAGTTTCGGCAGCTGTAAGTGCCGCCAGACAGCGGGCGTCGGGTTAATCTGTCTTCTGGATAGATAAATAGCTGCAAAAGCACGAGAAATAGAGATTCTGCCTTCACTCTCCCAGTTCAACCACCAGATTCCAGCCCCACTTCGCGGTACTTTAAGGGCCAATCCGTTCTTTTCATCAGTCGAAAAATTGTACACGTGAAATGTGCGCTCAGATTGCCTTCTAAATGTAAGATATGATGTCATGAAGCGTTTGAGGATACTTTTTATGTCTTTTGTCATTGTTTCTTGCAGTTTCAAGCTCCAGAATTTGTTTCAGCCTAAAATGTTGCGACAAGTCTTACCTTTTGAAAAGCAGACAGCAAGATGAAGGTGCATGGAAAATCCGTCACACTGTGAGCCATCGATCCACTTTCAAAATTTCCACCAGCCTATATCCGGGCCGTATTTTGGCATCTACACTGTGGAGGCAGATGCTTCCTCAATGACCCAAAATGCCTACCCTCTCGTGGAATTTCGTCTCCCCAGGAAAGACAATGTTAAATAGAGAAACTGGATAGCCTTATTAGCCAAATGACAGATAAGTCCAATAGGCAAGATTGTGCACCAGTGAGAAACAGCTTTAGATACATATCTAGCGCAGCAGCCATGACATTTGAATGAAGAGCGATAACAACCTCCATCCCCCCCCCTCCGGTCATCGGGCTCGCTTTCCAGAAAAAGTTCCTGAAGTACACCCTGAGCTTGGCCCCGCCCCGCTTTCTGAAACGTTCTTACGCCTATGCTTTCTATCCAAGCCCATCAGTCTCGTCCATTTCCACTCAGCACCTTCCAATTCCGTATAGTCACATCTGATTTCATCCGGTCCACTGGTCTCATCGCATTCCATCCTGTTCAGTCTGGTCCAGTTCCGTGTCGCCCCGCTCCATTCGGTCATGTGCGGTGCCTCCCGATTCCATGTGATACTGTCCGTTCACGTCTGGTTCGGTCTGGCTCTGTCCGGTTCCGTCCGGTTTGGCTAGGTGCTTCGGTCCGGTCCGGCCCCGTCTTGTTCAGTTCTGGCCTCTATTCCGTTTGGCTCTATTCGGTCACGTCCCGTGTCGTACGACCCCATAAGATCTCATCCAACTCCATCCAGTCCCGTTTGGTTTGATTCCGTACGGTCCCGTTTGATTCTGTTTGGTCCCGTCCGGTCCCATCTTGCTTCATTGCGTTCCGTTCGGTTCCGTTCACGCCCGGTACCATCTGATCTTCTCTAGTCCTGTTTAGTTCCATGTGGTTCCGTCTGATTTCATCAGATTTCGCCCGGTTTCATGCAGTCCCGTCCGGTCTGGTCATTCCTGGTCCCTTCTGGTTTGGTCTGAAATGGTCCCGTCCGGCCCCGTCTTGCTTCATGGTATTCCATCTGATTCCGTTCGGTCCGATCCGATTCCGTCCGGTTATGTGCAGTCCAGTTCTGTCTCCCCCGGTTCCTTTCGGTCCTCATGACCGCATGTGTGACAAGAAGCGGGCAGGTGCCATCATGGAATCCAAGGCCTAAATGCTCATGTAACCGCCTTGCATGCGACTACCACCACACCGCCGCACCGTAGTTTGTTAGCTGTAATTTTGTGACGTCATCAGCTGCCCGTACAATCAACCAGAAGTGCCATTTGCCATTTTCACTAGCATCGCATAATCAGCTGACAACCGCACATCAGTTTCGTGTTGACGCCAGGTGATGATGAGTGTACGTCGGTGATAGGTGCGGGGAAATTCCCATTTGTTAACCACATTATTTAGCGCCTAGATCACACCAAATGTGCTCGATGTATGCCTGAAAACCTAGTGCGTCGAATTATACTATTATTCCATGATTTGCTCGATGAATGTCTTTTGTTTAGCCTGTTTTAGCAAGTGCAAGGCCTACTCCGGTGGTACCGAAGTTCCATGGCAGAATTTGCTCTGATCGGTGGCCTTAGGTTCATACCATTGAGGTGGAGATTGAAAAGCACCCTGTGCCTACCACTTAAGCATTCTTGTAGCTTAATTATTTCCAGGCTCAGTTTCAGTACACTGTGTTGCAATATGAAATTCGATTTTTTCAAAGGCATGATACCCAAAGATGTCTGAAGTTGAGGTTACCAGTGCACCAGCATTGAAAGATAATTCAGCTGATTGTCATCCACACAGAGACAGCTATGATGCATCATCTACACAGGTAAGCACCAGTCAGTGGCTTCTGCTTTAAAAGCTTTGGTTTGTCACTACTAGTGAACTGAAATCTGCTCATATGAAATTGCTGCTCATTACAGCTATTTGCTGATCTTAGTGACATGGCATTTGCATTTCCTTCCTTGCCCTGCTTTAGCATGCTCTGGATGAATAAATGTGCCTGTATTCTGTGCATCCTTGTCTAGGTGTGCCTCTGTAGTGTCCCATGCCAGGGTGTTGTGCCAGGGCTGGGCAGATGAAGTGGCCAGTCTTCAAGGATGGGGATTTATGTGCTAGCAGTTGTCAGTAGTATGTGTATGCTCTGGTATCATTTTATTGATGGCTACTAAACTGCTCTAAAGGTATCAATTAGTCCTATCTTGGTAGGCATTTGTTTTGGCCATTTTGAGATTGTTATCAAGCAGTAGGTCTCTCAGAAAGTGTCAATAGGATCCTGCTCTCATGATTATTTAAAATGTGTACCACCCAACCTTTCCCTTGAGTCTTATCCTTGCAAACCATGCCATGTTTTCTGCTATCTTTGTGCTGATGCAGCTTGTCAGCTTCTTTGTGAATTTGTTCATCACTTCCCTGCTTGTTGATGTTTTTCAGGAAGCTGGGCCACCAATCTGTGTGCTCTGCAGCGGTGCTGTGACAGTTACCCAACCAGCAGACCTGGACAAACTGGATGTGTTTGCCAGGCTGTCCTCAGCCTCAGATATCATCATTAGCAAGGTATGCATACATTCTGAATTAATCTGATGTGTTTAGGACATCCACAGCTTAATGTCTGGTGGTGGAGGTGTGACTTGTCTGCTTTGCAAGCTAGCTTTGATGTGCACACATGCAGGAATGCTGGACAGTGGTGTGTGTCACTGCACCTGTCAGTGACCAACCAATCTGTACTATCTCCATGACCAGTGTGTCACTGCAGCTGTTGGCTACCACTGCCTGTACTGGCATGGTGGTCTGATTGTGTAGGCTGCTACCCTGTATGTACTGGTACTGTGGCCTGGTTGTGTGGACTGCCACCATGTCTGTACTGGTACTGTGACCTGGTTGTGTGGGCTGCCACCATGTCTGTACTGGTGTTGTGACCTGATTGTGTGGGCTGCCACCATGTCTGTACTGGTGCTGTGACCTGATTGTGTGGGCTGCCACCATGTCTGTACTGGTACTGTGACCTGATTGTGTGGGCTGCCACCATATCGGTACTGGTGCTGTGACCTGATTGTGTGGGCTGCCACCATGTCTGTACTGGTACTGCGGCCTATTGTGTGGGCTGCCACCATGTCTGTACTGGTACTGTGGCCTGATTGTGTGGGCTGCCACCATGTCTGTACTGGTACTGTGACCTGATTGTGTGGGCTGCCACCATGTCTGTACTGGTACTGTGGCCTGATTGTGTGGGCTGCCACCATGTCTGTACTGGTACTGTGGCCTGATTGCATGGGCTGCCACCATGTCTGTACTGGTACTGTGACCTGATTGTGTGGGCTGCCACCATATCTGTACTGGTACTGTGGCCCGATTGCGTGCATGCCTGTGTGTATGTGTGTGTGGCCGCAGCTTTCGGCGGTTACCTCACCCCCCCCTCTATCTTTACGGTCCCCCCCCCCGTGACCGGGGTGTGTCTGTGTGTGACCGCAGCTCTCGGCGGTAACCTCACCCCCCCCCCCTCCCCCATCTTTGCGGTCCCCGTGACTCTGGGCGTGCCTGTGTGTGACCGCAGCTGTCGGCGGTGACTGGCTGCAGTACTGCGGCCCTGCATTCCCGCGGAAGCCACGTCTGTTCCGCCTGCCTGGACCGCTTGCAACAGCTACACAATCTCGAGGCCACGGTACGGACCACACGATACAAGCACAACGTCCACATTACCGGGAGTAACTGGCGCCTTCAGCTGGGAGGAAATGTTCCATGTTTGAACAAACTGAAGCAAGCATCAGTTATGATGGAAAATATAACCTTTAACTGTTGGGGCAAGTGCAAAAAGCTAGGACAAAAGACTTGCAGAAAATTAAGAAAAAACAGAAAAAAGTGCAGAAAATTTTCTGATAAAACTCATTTACTATTTAGTAGATACACCACACAATATGCCGCCATGTGATTACGTCATGACACGTCTATGACGTCAGAGTCGCTGCCGTTCTGGTCGTATCAGGACTGCCACTGTAGCGGACGGGGTGACTCACTCCCAGCACTTTAACTGGCCACAAGGTGACGGGGGCCGTCGTCCGAGCGCCAGGCGACATCCCTCGGAGGGATCTCTGTGCGGGTAGTCTCGATAGATGGGTTAGTAGACACTTTGACGACTCCTAAATGTTATGAGACTTTTAATGACGTATTCAAACGATAACGTATGGAGGAGCGTATTTATCAAATGGTGGAATATTGTTAAATGGAGCCTTTTGAGCTTATGATATCTAGCAAGAAGAGAGAGAGAGCGAGAGCGAGAGCGAGAGCGAGAGCGAGCGCGAGCGCGAGCGCGAGCGCGAGAGAGAGAGAGAGAGAGAGAGAGAGAGAGAGAGAGAGGAGAGGAGAGAGAGAGAGAGAGAGAGAGAGAGAGAGAGGAGTTGAGTTGAGTGAGTGAGTGGGGGAGTGGGGGAGTGAGAGAATACACATATCCTGCGCCTCTTTCTTTCTCTCTCCACACCCTTCCTATCTTTCCGTCTCTCCTCTCTTTTTCCCTCCCTCTCGCTTCCCTCCTTCCCGCTCCTCCATCCTGTCCTGTCAGTAGCTCCGGCTGCGACGAGGCCGAGATTAGTTCTTTTCGACCCAGTATGCTTCTGCTGACACTCGGCAATATGGCCGATTTTCAGTTTTGTCACGAATAGTTGCCTTCAGAAACGATCTCTCTTTGGCGTTATAGTCAGCACTGCGTTGTACCCCTTTCGTGTTGATAATGCTGGTATATTTCGTGGTCAAGTTTGTTCTCATGGTATTATCTTGAGCGCAGCGTGACGTTGTAGCCTGTCTGCTAGAGAACGTCGCGATGTGATGTGAATTGTTGTTTTTCTTGCTCAGATTACGAACCAAAAAAACTGTTTGATCACTTCATAAGCGATTTTTGCGAATTCCACGGTTCCAAGGACAATTTCAAGACTCGTCGGCAGCTCATTTTTTTTTAGTAAGGTTTTTTAATGGGAGTACCCCGTCTTTCGGGCATATTTAAAAAACATGCTCTGGTCAAACCGCAGAGCCAATTACATGTAATTGTGGCACAGGGTAGTGCCATTGCGTCTCCATGAATTTATCATAATGAGGATCGGTTTGAATTATTTTCGGGGTCCAAATTACCTTGTCAACGCCTTGCAATAACATTAAACTTTATTCTTGGTAGCCCCAGAGCGAAGCCCTTGTCGCGACTGTCGTCATGACGACGGTTGAATTCTGCTTAGGGCCGTCGTCGACTGTTACGCTACGGACTAGAGGTACTACCTTTGGGCTGTTTAAAGCCGCCCATTGCAGCCGTGGAGCTTTAAAGTTGCACCTGTCCCAGCTTCAGTGATACCAGTGCAAGTGAACGTTTCTGGTTGGTGCGTTAGATGATGAATGTCATTTACCGAGAAACGCATTGGTTGAAGCGTGAACCAGTGTGTCACTGAAGACCATGCTATACTATGTTTCCCAAAGCCAACAAGCGTTTCGAGAAGAGCCACTACGCTAGACGCTATTTGGGAGAACCGGAGGCCAAAATATAATGTTTCATTGCATTCGTGTGATGATAGCTCATGTTTACATATGCTTTTCCTAAATAGAGCGCTTTCGTAAAATGCGTTGCAAAAACATTCTGACGAATTAGTGTATCGCTTTCATTGGGGTGAAGATGGAGTCTAATGACATTTCTCCCGCCGTAGCGCTTACTTCGAATCGGAAGACTGAGCTGTTCAGAAGGCTTCCAGGAAAACTGGCATTGCCGATGAATGTGAGGCGTCTGATCGAACAATGCTTGAAAAGTGCAGCAAAGGTGGCATACTCCCTTTAACTATTCCGTTTCGAGTTATGTGTGTTGTGGCAGGAGTAAGGATGCGTCTGTGAGTGTGGCGGGAGCGGGAGTATGCGCCCGTGAGAGTAGCGGGAGTGCAATAACTTGCCTGTGGGAGGGATAGGAGTGTGACGATGCGTCTGTGAGAGTGGCGGGAGTGTAATGATGCGTCTATGAGAGTAGCGGGAGCGAGAGGACGTAGTCGGCAGTGGCCGAAGCGTGAAGATGCGTCTGGCAGAGTGGCCGAAGCGTGAAGATGCGTCTGGCAGAGTGGCCGAAGCGTGAAGATGCGTCTAGCAGAGTGGCCGAAGCGTGAGGATGCGTCTGGCAGAGTGGCCGGAGCGTCAAGATGCGTCTGGCGGAGTGGCCGGAGCGTCAAGATGCGTTTGGCGGAGTGGCCGGAGCGTCAAGATGCGTCTGGCGGAGTGGCCGGAGCGTCAAGATGCGTCTGGCGGAGTGGCCGGAGCGTCAAGATGCGTCTGGCGGAGTGGCCGGAGCGTCAAGATGCGTCTGGCGGAGTGGCCGACGTGTGAGGATGCGTCTGGCAGAGTGGCCGACGTGTGAGGATGCGTCTGGCAGAGTGGCCGACGTGTGAGGATGCGTCTGGCAGAGTGGCCGACGTGTGAGGATGCGTCTGGCAGAGTGGCCGAAGCGTCAAGGTGCGTCTGGCAGAGTGGCCGACGTGTGAGGATGCGTCTGGCAGAGTGGCCGACGTGTGAGAGAATGCGCCGATGGCCACTTCTTCGTTGGTCTCTTTGCAGTCCCCCCCCCCCCCCGCCCCAAAAGCGGCAGCAACATCATCACGGAGCGTAAGACCTGTTGAGATCTGTTGTGTCAATGTCGTGGCAGATGTCGCGGCAGATGACCCGCCGGCCTGCTGTCCCGTACGGATCAGATGGTGGCTGGCAGCTGGAGCGGGCCTGTGTCGTGACGCCGCGCCCTCTGCTGTTCATCGGGGCTGGCCCGGAAGCCGCTCTGACCCGCTGCTTAGCCCCTGTTCCTGCAGAACGGATGGGGTTCCCTGACGGCGACGCGTCCACCTGACCGGCCGGTGCCGCCCCGCAGGTCGAGCGGGAGCGGGCCCTGCTGGCCGAGCTGTTCCGCCGCAGCCGCGCCACGCCCGCCGCGCCGGCACCGCCGCCGCGTGAGGGCGCCAGCCTGCTGCTGGTCGATGACGTGGAGGTACGACTGCAGGATGACCGGGTGGCCGCCGTGCCCCTGACCTCCACGCGCCGGCGGCAGCTGATGCGGCAGGCGCGCAAGGCCGAGCGGCGCTTCGAGTGCGAGGTAAGCTGCTCAGGCTCAGGCGATTAGTGATGCTCGCTGAGATTTTTACTGCTGTGATACGTGTGTTGAACTCTGATCCAACAATGTCTGCTTCAGGCATCAGGGGTGGTGGGGTGGCTTCTTTCACCGACGGCTGGGACGTAAAGGCGTACGCTCGGAACTTGTGCGGTTCTGTAGGTTGTTTGGCTAGTCACGTGCCTGTTGTTCGTTTATCGGCAATGCTTGCCGAGAGTCGACGTCCTCGAACTCGCTGTGGCGTTGTTGACAGGCGTGCGGCAAGCGATTCCGCGCGTTCAGCCACCGCGTCGAGCACATGCTGATCCACGTCAAGGAGCAGCCCTGGTCGTGCCCGCACTGCCCCAAGAGATTCCGCACCAAGTCGGCGCGCACGGCGCACCAGCGGGTGCACGCGCCTGCTGCCGACGGCTTCGCGTGCACGCTGTGCGACCGCCGACTCACCGACGCTGCCTCCCTCCGCCAGCACGTGCGCACGCACTCGGCGCGCAAGCCGTTCACGTGCGACACGTGCGGCCACGCGTTCGCGCGACGCAAGGACCACGCCGTGCACGTGCGCCAGCACACTGGCGAGCGGCCGCACGCGTGCCCGGAGTGCGCGCAGACGTTCGTGGCGCGCTCGCGACTGAACCGGCACCTGCTGCTGCACCGCGACAAGCAGTTCACGTGCGGTTGCGGCCGTGCGTTTCGGCGGCGCTACGAGCTGGAGCGGCACGCGCGCGCCTGCGGCCAGCCGGCGGCCGCCGAGCCGCTGCCAGTGACCTACCTGTCGGCGCTCGTGCTGCCCGAGCCGACGTCCACGCTCTACTACCAGGTGGTGACGCCGGTGACGGCGGCGCCGGCCGAGAGCGAGCCGCCGGCCGTGGCTGCGCCGGAGGCGGACCGGCCGCCGGCCGCCGCCGGTCAGGTACTGGTGCCCTCCTACTGACAGGGGTCGGCGCCGGCGGTGGCGGGATGGTGCGCCCGGCTGCCGCGAGAGAATTCACCGCACAGACCTTCCTCGGTTGTGAATCTTGACCGCGACAGCGCGAGCGGACGCGAAGCTTCAGCTCGGGTTGGGGGCCAGCCACTGGCTTCTGGCTAAGGATGTTACAAACGTTGCAGCTATGTCAACTCGTATTTGGTCTTGTTGCTGATGCGGCCGTCTCTGGCGAGTGTGGGGATCTGGTCCAAGTGCATGTAGCATTGAGTCATTGCGTATTTATTGGAACGCTGGTAACCGTCTCAGTCGTTGGGCAGACACAGACGGAGGTCGCGAACAACAGTAAGAAAAAAGACGACTGAAGTTCTCAGAAGTTGTAAAGATTACGTCAAGGGTGGCGGGGTACGAGCCCGGATGCCAGACTTGACGCGCTGGCACTCGATATCGCACTATTTTTGTCGCATACCGGGCCGCTCGTTCGTTTTATTGCGGGCGTCCCGAGCTTCTCTGCGGCGAGTGTATCCGGGCGTGAAATATTGTCCTGCCGCGTTGCCCCCCCCCCCCCTTCCGAAGTTAAAACGTGCATGGTCATGGTGTGTGAGCCGGTGTAAACACGCGACGGTAAACAAGCCTGGCTGCCGTGCTTGTATCGCTGAGGTATAAGGGCACATGATATGAATTATGGCTTTGACTTGTTGATTACTCTACGACCCGGATCAGACCACTGATTTGAGTTGTGAACGACTCCTGAGTATCAGCAGGGCCTTTGTGTGCAGGATTTATGACAGTCCTGAGCACAGTGACCGCGGCACTAACGGTCTGGAGTGATATCATGTGTTGACAACGTACATCTCACGTTTTTACAGGTCTTTTTTCATGCATCGTCACTCTGCGCAGTGCGAGTGCGAAATTCACCCACTGTCATGTAAATATATATTTTGTATAGAAATGGTCGTGTTAGGCAGGCAATCGACGAAATCGCTCTTGAAAATGACGATTAAAGAGTCTTGCATTTTAAGCAGACTTCCTTCAGAGAAGTCCAGGTGTCATATAAGCATATCACACACGCTCACCCACGGACGTGCCGTCTTCCGGAGCTTGGCCAGACAAGACGCTTCAAGCCACAATGCAGTCGCATCACTCATCACGCATTGTCAATCGATATTGGCCTATCTTTGCGCCGGAACAAGTTCCGGTAAAACTCCGCCAGCGACTTCCGAAGCCGCTTGTTGAAGAGTAGATAGAAGAGATAGTTGGAGCTGAAGTTGGCGATCTCGAGCAGGTTGGCCGCCGCGATCGCCACGTCGAGCGCCTTGCTGGGACTGGTGACGTACAGCAGGTAGAGCGTGGTGACGGTGCCGGGGATGAGGCCCACCACCAGACTGACCATGATGACCACCACCAGCCGGACGAGGGCGCGCTCCTCCGCCGCCAACTGCGAGCCGGGCTCCGGCATGCTGGCCACGCTGGCCTCGCGCCGCGCATGCGGCGGCGGCGAGAGTGCCGCCGCACGCGTCACCATCTGCTGGAAGCCCGCCGCGATCCGCCAGTTGAGCGCGACCAGCGCCGTCATCGGCAGCAGGCGTGTCAAGCACTCGCCGAAGATGACGTAGCCGTTCCAGGCGGCCGAGCTGGCCTGCTCCGCCTGCCAGCCGCCCGGCACGGCGCGCGCCGTGCCGCGGAAGAACCACGGCACCGCCGCGGCCGTCGCCACGCAGAAGACGACGACGACGCGGCGGAGCGCCACCTCGCGCCGGTGCACGAGCTTGAACTCCATTTGCCGGCAGACGGAGACGAAGCGGTCGACGGTGAGCGCCACCACGGTGCCGATCGACGCGCAGGTGGTGACGGCCAGCAGCCACTGCTCCACGTGCGCCGCGTACACGGCCAGTGCGTGTGAGCTGAGCAGCGCCGACGGCGCGGCCAGCCGCACCAGCGTCGGGATCAGGCACAGCATGATGGCCGTGTCGACCGAAGAGAGCACCACCAGGAAGAAGCGCGTGACGCCCCAGCGGCGCGGCGCCGCCAGGCACGGCAGGCAGACGACGTTACCGACGATGCCGGCGGTCACGAGCAGTGGCGCGATGACGCCGTACGTGACGTGGTGTAGCCGACGCGTGAAGACCGGGTCGGTGACGTTCAGGTACGGGTGGTCCATCTGCGGGTGCGGCAGGGCTTGAGGTGGCGGGTGCAATCATCGGCAGACACACTCAGTTGGAGTTGGGAGGGGATGCAAGAAAACGCAAAGCTCCGAATGCAACGCCGTGGCCAGGGACCTCGGTTGGAGCTTCGACCCTCGGTCGGAACCTCGGTTTTCGGTCGAAACTTTGGTCCTCGGTCCTCAGTCTGTATGAGACTAAACCTTCACATTACTAATATTTGATTATTATTATCAGCTGTGCTGGTAAAAGCCTTTTTGGCTGACAAACTCTCAAATCATAGCGGCGCATTGCTTCACCGCAGCGTAATGCTGTAACACTGTGGTGTTACCATTTCGGTGGTAAACTGGTTTGCGAGCTTGTTCGGAATGTCAGCAGTTTCGGAAAAGACGCGTTGCTTTAAGAGCAAATCAAGACCAATGGGTTTGATTGTCACGAGGCGTGCCCAGATTTTTGCAACGGAGGAGCAAACTTCTAAATTTTGTGTCGAAAATCCAGTAAGTCCAGTTACGGTCTAATTCAAAATCCAGTTAAAATCCACATTTTTAGATATTGAAGCAAGCATCAGTTATGATGAAATGAGCTCACTTATCACGGTTGGTATAACTTTAAGTGAAAACTGCTGTTTTAGACAGCACGATTTCGCTATTTAGTAAACATGCTCCTCCACACAACATCGTTGGACTATGCCATCGTACCTTGTACAACATTGTTGGCGAACCAATTGATGGCCGTTACGTCTGGAAATCATGCTCACGAGCGTCAGATATGGACGACTCGAAAATCGACTTGGCCTTGGTCGTCGCATAACCGACGGGGTAGCAAGACTTAAACGACGTTATTATGGGGTCATGGATGCCTCGGTGACCTTGAAATAGTCTCCGAGAAAAGTCTGCACATCTTCGTGGGCTGTAGCTCAGAAACTAGAAGGATTTAGGTCTTAAGAATGACAGATTTGTGAACTGCACCAAACGATCTTCAAGATTGCCACTTCATTTCAAAACCCTACGGAAATGTGGAACACTCTCTTTGGCAAGCCGCAGGTGCGTGTAGTTTATCGCGGGCCGTAAAACAGCATCGCGTGTTCTCGATCTTCTCATTTTGCGTGTTTCTTTCGCCTTTTTAAAATCGATCCATTCACTCGCACACTAATTAGTAAATGCAATACATTTGAAAAGAAGATGGGGCATCTGAATTTTTAGGCCCCAGGGTATTCAGCGGCGCATAAACTAGCATGTGTCAGAAACCTTCCCAAAGTCAAATGACGGGGTCACATGTCACCCAAACTTTGCAGCCCGACTTAGGATGTGTAGACGCCAGAATCTTGTTCACAAAATCCAGCAAAATGGGCATCATTTTTGACGTTCGTGATATCCACTTTCGTCAAATCTGCAATAAATGACTCTCATGGCAAAAATAAGATCACAAAAAGTGTGGTATTTCGGCACTTCTTCGGTTCCCAAATTGATGCAAGAAATCGGTATCATGTTAATGCTCGTGATGTCCACTATTCGAGTGAGTCTAACTTACCTGCTCGTATGTTCCGCACTATGGTTGAAGTGCAGGGCAGACCCACGGGGCGGACAATAATCTGTTTACACCCCGTTCGCGTACTGAGATGGGAAAACGACGTTTTTCTATTCGCGTATCCAAGATGCACACCGAGCTCCCGCAAAAAGACATATGAAACACATGAAGATGGAAAGACCTGTTTGTACGGCGGAGTCGTGACTAGTGTGTCTGTGCGTGTGTTTCAGTGCGTTTGCTTTTGAATGACTGTCTTTGTCCTCATGACCTAGCCGTTCATCTACCTGCTAACGATGGGTAGTAATAGCCCTGAGTTTACTCGGAATTACCGAAATACACGTCGATCCATCAATCAACCTCCAAAGATGTCCTCAAATCGTCAAAGGTCCTTGTCAAGCAACACGGGAGGTACCCTGGTAGTCACACACACGAAAACAACGTACATGAACACCACGACAGAAGTTCAAGGTACATGCAGATCATGCTTCAACGGAGCACAAGAAATTAATGCTTTAATACGATACGCGTCGTTGTCGTAGATACCTGGCGACTTGAGACCACCAGGTGGTCCCTACTGCTTCAAACTTTTGCATATGTGTCATTCCCAGCCCCAATTCTATTGACTTCAAAATTGTTTCCCCATATCATACCAGCCTAAAAGCTATGGTATACGCACCTTGCGTATATCCTTTAAACACGCTTAATTTATTTAAGTGCAGGCCAACTCATCAAACTCGCTGCAGGGTAGTACTTGGACATGGCTATTTATTTTATGATGATTATCTCATCAGGTTGTTTTGCTAATTTAAGGACAATGAAAAGCTGTTTTTGTTATCTGAATACGTACTTTATGATTCCATAGTGACCTTGGGCTGTATATAGCCTTGGGATGTCCTTGATGCATAAAAGCATTGCATAATTAGCAAATTTCTTGCAAATTATAAAGTATCACGTTGTCAATGGTTTTTTCCCTCGCGTTTTTTCCGCTGTTGCAAAAATGGACAGTGACCTGAGGTCAAACAGAGATAGTAAACCACAGCATTATTCAGTTTGTCTTGTCTAAGGCCTGTGAATGCTGTTTAATTGTTGCTTTCATTAAAAAATATGTGTTATAGGGTGTGCAAGATATGCCTGTCTTAGCATAATAGGTGCCGCGTAGTAAGATCCGTAGTGGCCTTGCGTTATTCGATTACATTTAGCGTTCAAGCCTTTGAAGGTGCATGATCCCCAGTCCTGTTGAATTGTACGGAAACTGAAACTACTGTTCCATCTCATTTCAGCCTGAAGTTGTAGTATAAGCACGGTGTGGCCCTGATGACCTGCTTCTATTTCAACAAACCGATCGATTAAATTTCCTACGGAAAAGCTGTGTTATTTACATGCTGGTGATTACCTTTGGAATATCTAATATCAATCCTAACTTAACAAAAAAAATCGTTTGCATGTGAATGCGCATCTGATAATTGTAAAGAACACCTAATTGTAATTGACCTTGTCATGTCTCGGACCCCTCATAGCACTGTTTGATAATAAATGCCTGTTTATGCTATAAACGCACAATCTGCCTTTTTCTTGCCGTAGCATGCACGCGTTTATTTTTCAACTTAGCAAACATCAGCTGTGACCTGAGGTCCATATGGTATTGCGTGCAGAGAAGCGAGTTGACACTAACATTCTCCCCCCCCCCCCCCAGCTCTAAAAGGGTTCCACGGTCACTGAGAGCCTATGGTAGTCAACTAATGTATAGGATTGAGCACCGCACGGAACGCGCCCATTGATCCGGCCGGCACGTGAGATTATTCGAGTGAATAGATGCCCCGAAGCCGTAGAAGCACTGGCCTGTTTTCTGTCCAAGAGCTGCAGGCTGCTATTCGATGTAGATCACAAGGAAAGTGGTTGGGGTCAAAGGCGTAGTTCCTTGTTCAGTTGCGGGGGGTCGCAACTTGTGCTCCAACCCCCATTTGAGAGAAGAAAGTGGTCCAAAGTCGAGGAGAAGCCCGTTTCTGACTATTTTGCGGGTTGGTTTCGTCATTTTTCACTGTTCGATTCTTCCCACACACACTCATTTCGTGAAACTAAGCCTCCGCTTGGAGGAACACATTTTCGCCTTCCGCCATGATCAGGTGGATAGATGGGAAGGGAAAGACAGGAAAAAGGAGGCGATGCACCCACCGCCGGCGCTGGACCGGCGGTTCAAAACTTCTCGCCAGTTAAAATGTCTCTTTGTCGCGCTGCTCCGTGTGATAACAGTGAAGGCCCGCAAAGCCTTCTGAGACTTGGGACTTTGGGACTGGGACTTCTATACAGCCTTTTTATATTGGGATGCGCGCACGTAAACGGCAGCATAATCGATGCGGTCATCGGTATAAGAACAGCTCTCTGCTGCAGCTGCTACCTCTCTGAACTGTCATGAACGTGTCATGAAATAGAAGGAAATCTTAGGTTCTGAATGCCTGTGAGGGAAAGGGAGGCGACTTTGTACTTTCCGTTTCTGTAGAAGGTTATTTTTCCTCAGTAAACGTATGAAACAGCTGTAAGTTTACCAGAGGAACGTATATGCGCTAAATCATTTGTTGCCTGCCAGGGATTCCAATTAACTGACCGACATTAGTTTTGGACATTGCTAAGTGAATGCCAATGCATACTGGCGAGAATTCGGACAGGCAGATTTTGAATTTGTAGGTGAACCGCTTGAGCACTTTGCGTTTAATACTGAGTCTGAAATGCCATAGAAATGTCCCACTATGACTTATAAGCTATGTCTTTGGGCCTTCCGCATCCAGCACGCATTAGCTATGCCATAGATGGGAACGAACAGTTGTCCTCCACTCCCCCCTCCCTCCTCCCGCCGCGGCATTTTGCGTTATGCCTAAATGTCATCACTTACAGAGAAAGCTTTCGAACCTTATGCTTCACGCTTTCCCGTGCTGGACACACTGCATGCGTAAGCAGCAGTAGCCATGAAGACATAACGATATTCTCTAAATTTGAAATTTGAATTTTTAGCCAGTGACAGCGGAGGCTCTGCATGCGGAGATTGTGATTGGGTAAAAGTGATTCTTTTGCCTCTTTTCTTTTCGTGCACCGCCATAACAAGCATGTTTAATGTTGCCCGGAGTTCGGCGGAAAGGAGAGGGGGGGGGGGGGCGGCAGCTCCCTCCCCTCCCTTATACGCTTCCCCAGGACTTATCCATTAATTTCCGAATGTGTGCGCTCTGCCTAAAGTTGTGTGGAATGCTGGAACAATAATCTTCAAAATCTAGGCCTGTTAAGCGTTAGAAGGAGTCACGGCGTGTTGCGTGCGGAAGTAGCGGCAAAAGGCTAGTCTCGTGCGGAAATAATTTCTCAACTCGGTGTTTTCGCTAAGTGTTGTGTACAATTAAGCTGTTAAAAATATGCACAGTTAGGAGATGATCTTATTCCCAGGATGCGTACCAACGTGTTACCTTCTTAATTTTGATTAAGTTATACA